GGGGCCGGGGCGGGCCTGGCACCACCTCCGCGGGCGGGGCCTCACCGGTGCGCGGCTCGTGGTTCCCAGCCTGGCATCACTCGGAGACCCCCACCTCGGCCAGGGAGCCCCCAGGAGGATGGAGACGGCTCCTTTCCCCGGAGGTCGGGGAGAGGACCCCCGCAGTCAAGAAGGGGGCTCGCAGCATCCCTTCCAAGAAACCCTAAGTCCGCTTCAACTCAAAGGGAGCCCCCAATGGCACATCCCAACAATCAAAACTAGGTAGGTGCCCCGAATCTGTCAAGGTGGGGGGTTGTTCCTCCCTCATCAGTTACACAGATTAGAGGGGAAAAGAGGAAGAATAAAAAGGTGTCTCCCTTCTCATTTCCCTTCCCTCTCGCCCAGGGTCTTTAAGCAGAGTTCACAAATGAATTTCAGAAAATTCCATAGCACCCCGGCCCTAGAATGAAAAATGATGCGCTGTGTGCATCTGGGTGGCTGGAGGGGAATCTCACCTGGCCCCAGGTTGGAAGGTGTGACTCCCTCTCCACCCCCTCTCCCCCCAGTATTTGGAAGCGTGGCTTACAGGCTAGTAGACACCAGCCAGGTGTTTGCAATCCTTCCCTCCACCCTTCCAAGCAGGCCTCAGGAGTCACCGGCCGCAATCAGGTGCTCCGTCCCAGCCCTACACCCCAACCCCGACCCTGGGCTCCCTGGGGAGCTTAGGTGTGGACTCTTCTACCCAAGACTCCAGAAAACCCAACCTCAGGTTCCCAAAGGAACCTCCTTGTCCAGTGAGATGGGGAACACCAGGCGCCCCGTATTTTTTCAGAAGTGCGCTTCTGGGCACTCCATGCACGAGAGGCTCAGAGGGGTGAGGGTCTGCCTAGGGCCACAGCCACAGGGGCTGTTTCTGACGGGCCTCCAGGCTCCCACTCTTGCCCTGACACAAGACCTCTTAGGTGCCAAAACAAGACTTAAAAAAGGAAATGCTGGGGCCCTCCCTGGTGGCGCAGCAGGTTAAAGCACTGCACAAAGAAGCTTAACCACTTCCGCTTGAGTTCGAACCCCGCCTGCCCCGGAGGAGATCCACATGGTGGAGGAGATCCACATGGCCCGCAGACCTCTCCTGACCCGCCAGCTGCTCCCCTCAGCAGTGTACTTCATGATCTGCCTGTTCTGCTCCCCACTCTGTCTCTGGTGAAGCCTCTCACCCTCCACATCTCTGGCCTGTACCCCAGTTCTGTATGAATAAATAAATCTTAAAAAAAAAAAAAAAAAAGGAAACACTGATCTTGCCTCCATCCCTGGATGGGTAGTGCTGTGGGGCCCATGGCCACCCTGACCTTCACCTTGCGCTGCTCCCACCTTACAGTCACTCAGGCCCCATCTTTGGGACTCATTCAGTCCTCCATGCCCCTCCCCTTTCCCAAGGCCGGTCCCAAGCTGCTGTCCCCTCTTCTGGGGAGCTACTTCTGCTTCAGCTCTCAACTTCCACCTCACCTCCAACCACCCTAAGTTGCCCCTCAATTTCTCGACTACAACAGCACCCTATTTCCCCTTCACTCTATTTCTGTAGTCGTCTTCTTTGTTTATTTGCTTTTCTATCTTTCTCCTTCTCCCTCCTCAGAATTATCGTTTAGCAGACCCGGAACTTGTCACACACAGATGCCCCACCACTTGGCACAGTGCAGGTGCTGAACAGCTAAAAGGAGTGGTGGGGTACGCAGAGGAGGAGATTACACTGGGCTAGTGCCTTTACCCCTTGGGCATCTTGCAAAGCTCAAGGACAAAGGTGAGGTAGGAGAGGGGTAGAGGCAGGAGAACCCCAGGCATCTTCAGGTCAGGTGACAGCCAGGCTTTTGCTGAACCAGGATCGGTTACAGTCCTAACAGGTGTCAAACACTGAGGAAGAGACCCTGGAAAAACTTCAGTTTCCTAAGCACTTCCCCAGTCTGCCCGCAGCTTATTCCTGGGTGCAGAGGTGCCAGGCGTTTCTCATCCTTTCACAGCTATCATCTCACCTAAGCCTCTGGCCCTTCCCCAAGGCAGGTATTACTGGCCCCTTTAACAGAGCCTGAAACGGAGGCTTGGGGAAGTAATGAGTTCAGGTGCAATGAAGCCACAGCTCCTGCTGCGGTTTCATTTCAGAGGTCACCCTGCTCCCCTGCTGGATGAAGCTCTGCGGACCATCCCCCTCAGACCCCAGGCGGGTCTCCTGCTCTGTGTTCCCACATAGCCCCTCCCCAAGCTTCGCTGTTGATGGGAGATCCTTGAAGGCAGGCACTGGGTGTCCAGCAGGCCGGAGGCCCACCCCAGGGCCAAAGCCAGGTTGCCCACCTCCAGCCCCCGCGGCCTGTCTGTGGAAGGATGATGAGGGCTGCTCACATATCTCAGATAGAAGTCGGCTAAGCGGTCAAGCCATTTTATTTTTTAGCACACAACACATTGGGCCCCTTCCTGAAAGGCTGCCTGGGGCCCTGCAGTGAAACTGAGCCCACCCAGGTGGGAATGACTTAGTGGCTCTTGGGTGGGTGACAGAGGCCCAGTGGGCAGGTGACACCACCAGGAGCTGGCACCCTCCTTCCCTCCCAAGGGGCAGGGGGCAGGGGCCTCCCATCCGCTGTCTGGTCTGTCCCCTCACCCATCCAGAGCCCCAGCCTGGGGAGGTATCACTTCCATTTTATGGGGCGTGGGGGGGGCAGGACAAACCAACACCTCTGTGGACCCCATCTCTCCTGAGAAGACAGGGAGCAGGGAGGATGTGCCCAGTCCCAAAGTCACCTGGGAGCCAGGATGGGGACCCGTCTCTGCCTCACCGTTAAGTGGCGGAGCTGGGTCTAGAGCCGGGTCCTGACTCCTCTCCCTTGCTCTTGCGTAAGGCGCAGCTGGGGCCTGGGCTCCGGGTGGGGCTCCAGAGTCCCAGGACGCTCAGCCCAGCCGGTAGGGCAGCCAGCACTTGTCTCCCTAATTGCCTCATTTGTGGTTGTGGGTGCCACACCCGGCCCGCAAGCTTTGGGGAAAGGGGAAGAACAACCGCTGCTTTGTGGGGAGTTCCGGCCGGGCAACTCTGGGCCCGGTGCTCCTGAGAAGGGCTGGCAGAGAGCGGGCATGGAGAAGCAGGAAGAAGCCCTCAGGCCCCCAGCGCTAGCCTGCTGAGGGTGTGGCCGTGCCCAGCTCTAGAAACCCCACTCCATGGAAATCAAAGGCACAGGGTGAACAGTGAGATATGAGATGCTCATGCATTTCTGAGGACAGGGCCTCTGGCCCGTGGCACGGGGCAGGAGCCCATTTGCCCTGGCTGCGTTCCTCACTCCCATGGTTCTCCAGGTTGGGTTGCCCAAGGCAGGGAATCTTCAAGGAATCCTGGAGCATGTTGGAGGCAGGAAAGAGCAAGCTGCCAGTGAAATTGAGAGGCGCTGGGACTCCTTGGCCACACCCTCTGAGTTGTTTTCACATTCTGTTTCTAAGCCTTGGCTCCTTAGAAAGCTTTGTGGCCAAAGGCCCAGTCAGTTTCTGCCTCTGGTGCCAGTAATTAGCTGGGATCCGTGAAATCCTTATGTCATCTAATACACATGTACACGTACTTTAGCTAAATACTTAGCAGGCACAGTGACAGTGGGTAAAAGCTCTGAATGCAAACCACAGTTCAGGTCCCTGCTGTGTGACCTTGGGTAAGCGACTCAGCCTGTCTGGGCCTCCGTTTTCTCATCTGTAAAATGGGGATTACTGTACTTCCTCCATGGACCGCTGGAAGTTGAATAGTGTCTAGAACAGCAAGGGCCCACTAAGTGTTAGTGTTACATGTAGTCACCATTACTTATATAACATGGAGCTCAAAGCCTTCAATTGACCCTCACTGTCTATAGGACAAAGTCAAAAATCCTAATGGAGTTCCCCATCCGGCCCAAACCTACCTCTCCAGACTGCCCCTCTGAATATCCCTCAGGTGTGTAGCTATCACCTTGGCCCCTGACCTATCCTTGCAGGTGTTCCACTCAATAGGAATTCATTGTCCTTGATACTTATCAGGCTCCGTACTGAAACCCAGGACTCAATGGCCCTGCAGCTGTACCCTGCTCCTGTTTTTCCTTCAACCCAGCTTCTCTCCATCTTTGGTTTGCCTCCTCCTCCATGCAGTCCTCACTACTTCATCAGACACAAAAAATTACGCTCCTTCTCTGGCGTGCCCCTCCACAGCACTTGCATTACATTTATGCCTTTGTCTCGGCAGCTTTATTTTTGGGGTGGAGAGCACCTACGGTATGGACAACAATCATCTTATGCAGTACAGAACCTGTTACTGAGATAACTGGTTTAGAGTCTATTTAGATTCTCACCAGGGCATAGGCATCTATGATTTCTTTTTTTATTTATGCACACAGATCTGGGGGAGAGGCCAGAGGTGCAGGGATGGTGAGAGGCTTCACCAGAGACAGAGTGGGGAGCAGAACAGGCAGACAGATGAAGCACACTGCTGAGGGGAGCAGCGGGCAGGTCAGGAGAGGTCTGCCGCGCCATGTGGGTCAGCTCTGGGGCAGGGATCAAACTCTCACTGAAGTGGCCGTGGCCAGCTTCCCAGTGCTATGCTTTAACCCGCTGCC